GTACGGCCGTCGGCAAAATGCCAGAGTCCGACGATATCTGAACATCAATTTTGTCTTTTATGAAGTGCGGAGCACTTTTAAGTGACCTGAGCTTGGCCCCTGTTGACACCACCACTAGCGCATGTCCATATATTAATCACACGTTTTGCGTGGAGCTTAATGGACAGACGTTTATAGTAAATTATAGGTGGGACCGGGAGCCTAAATGCATTTACCGAAGCCGCTGTGTACGAACGTCTCCATGGAGCATGTTGCAGAAATTAAAAGCAAGTGAATTTGTATAGTAGAGGGAGAACATCATGCCACTGTAATAAATTAAACACCAATATAATTCACCGAACTAAAGTTATTTAGATCTATTCGTCAGGCTAAATATCGCTAAAGTCTCATCGCCATAGTTATATAGTGCCGGTTTTGATTTTTTTTTAAAATACGCCGTATCTCTTTCTTAAACATTAGCCTAATGACAAATGACGTCACGCGCGCCGCGAACTTTGTGACGTTGTGCTTAGTGGGGGATGAAACGGCGTGGTTGAGAAAAATGACGTATTTCTTTTTTTTAACAGATGAATAAGTTATAGATTATAATTTTCCTACGAACTATAGGTTGATCTAGTTTTTTTTTCTAGAGGGAGATATCACTATATTGCAGGGGTTCCCAACCCTGTGCCCGCCTCTCACTATTCGACAGAGATAGAATTTTTTTTCATAAACATTATTGAAAGGTTGAAGGGGATGGAAATCGAAAGTTTGAGGGGGGGGGGTGCAAATCGAAAGTTTGAAGGGGGGCGCAAGTCGAAAGTTTTGTCCCCAGGTGACACGAGAAGGGTCGCTACGCCTCTGGTAGGAGTTTGTCGATTTAAAATAGGTGGTGCCCGCCACCCTACCGATATTTTAGAATGTGCTCTAGAGTAAAAAAAAAGGTTGGGAATCCCTGCTATATTGTGATGGGGGGTTTATATATAATCTCAATATATTCTGATCTACTACTATTCATACGGCAACTATTATACTCGTGAGGAGGACGGTAATCACTCTTATGTTCCGCAGACACTAATTAACAATGTCAACAACTTCGTTTATGAAATAACATGAACTTTATTAACACACACTTAAAGATCATTTGCACAATATCAAATAATACGTCCGTCTCCTACTATATCTAACCCCCAACTAACTTCACTGCTGCGTCTTACGTCATCGGTACATTGTCGCACCATGCTCACGTCACGCGCACAATACTCTCGCACCAAATCGTCTACCGTCAAGTTCGTACCTTCCTTAGTAACCTCTACTCGTCTAGTCTAATTCTATATATCTACGCTATGACATATATCGTGGGTGTTTTTTTGTTGTTGTTGTAATAATGGATGGTGGGGAGGGGTAAACATTGACTACTGAAGAAATCAAAAACTGATGACAGCAGAAGGCAAAGAAAAAAAAAACAACCATGTGGTATTCAAATGTAAGTAATTAAAATTTGAACCTATTTTAAAAAACACAATAATCTTAATTCAGAAAAAGTGTAGGCCTAAGACTAATGTCTACAGACAAAATAAACAACTAGGCTTAATTAAATGGATCGCCCATAAATGACGTCATACTTTTCACTTTTCCCGACGATTTCCCTCTCACCCAATTGTTACTAATGTGAGCGGGTGAATGGATTATTTTGTATTCTTTTATTTGTTGCGAATCTGGGAGTGCATGGTGGTCCAATGGGGAACGGCACGGAGTCCCCTTCCGTCCGAAGCGGTCAGTATAAATTGACCGCTCGGAGTGATTTTCTTCCTTTTTTTTGACCCGCGGCGAGATGTAGGTCGGGTCAGGTTTCTGCGTGGCGCACCGCACGCGTGGAGTGAGGTTGCTTGGGCAACTTGGCTGGGTGTTTTGTTTTATATGATTTGTTTTGTTTGGTGTAAAAAGTTTGTTGTGTACGTATTGTGTTCTACGTAATGTATTGTACGTAACGTATTGTACGTAGTGGTTTTACGTAGTGTTTTGTTTGGTGTGGACTTTTGGATGTCGAGAATGGATGAAGGGAGGTTTCTGTGTGTCAGGGCCTGGACCATCCTAGACATCATAAGTCGGTGCAACACCAGCAAATGGTCAAACGTAATGTTTAGTTTGATGTAAAAGTTTGTTTTGTTATATATGAATTGTTTTGTTTGATGTAAAAAGTTTGTTTCGTTTGGTTCTGTTTTGTGTCAGTTTTTATCTATTCCTTTTTTTATAACTTTTGGTTCCATGAAATAAATTGTATTAACTGTAAAAGGTTTTTGTTTTATTTTAGTAGCTTATTATTTAGACTAAGGTTAGGGTTTAACCACTGTGGGTTCTACCACGGTTGCACTGACCGGACAGATTAGTTAGTTAAGCCTAGGGAAGGGTAGAGTAGATTTTAAGGTATCCCCCCCTAGCAGGGCTTACAAATTGGTAGCACGAGTGGGGTCAGTGCTTTAGTCTAGCTAAATTTTTGTTTTTTTGATAGGGCTAGATGTAGCTTAGTTAAATTTTTGTTCTGATAGGCCCTTTTTGGAACCATTTGTGTTTAGTTTGTGTGTAGTGTAGGGATTGTTTGTTGTTTAAACACCCAGTCAGGTTGGCGGAGAGACGTGCCTTGGTGAGCCTCCATTGTGCTAGACGGGACAAGGCGCGGTGTGTGGCGCGTGATCTGGTGTGTGAGGCAGGCCTACAGCGAACACCCCTTGACCCACAAAGAGGGCTACTGGACACCCGCCCCACAGGTGTGTCGAGTCGGACACACGATCATTGGAGGCGGGCAACAGCACGAGAGCCAGTGGGGCAAGGCGGTTGCGTCACCACCTGGCCCAACCAAGCGGACGCTCCCCACCAACGAGAGGCCAATGAGGTCAATTCCTTGACCCACAAAGAGGGCTACTGGACACCCGCCCCACAGGTGTGTCGAAGCGGAGGCACGATCGTTGGGGGCGGGCAACAGCACGAGAGCCAGTGGGGCAAGGCGGTTGCGTCACCACCTGGCCCAACCAAGCGGACGCTCCCCACCAACGAGAGGCCAATGAGGTCAATTCCTTGACCCACAAAGAGGGCTACTGGACACCCGCCCCACAGGTGTGTCGAAGCGGAGGCACGATCGTTGGGGGCGGGTAACAGTCGGAGAGCCAGTGGGTCAAGGCGGTTGCGTCATCTCCGGACCGACCTAGCGGACGCTCCACCGGTGTGCCTACGGTGACGCAAGACCAGAATACGGTGTGTTGTGTGGTGGACCCAGGTGGACGGGATGGACAGGCAATGTGTGCCATTAGTAGCGGGCGGGTCTAGCCTGACCCTCCCCCCTTGCCCTTCCGGATGAATGACCGACAGGACTAGTAGCGCGAATCAGCCTTCAGTGAAGGGAGCACTATCTTGGTGCCTTGAGTTTTTTTTAGGGAGCACAGAGACGCAAGATTAATGTTAATGGAAATTGTTTTTTTGCATTCAAGCTTATAGGCTTGGTGTAAGAGATGGGTGCATGTTTTATTTTAAGATTGTTATACGTATTTTTTTGTCTTACAGGGACTGTAAGATTTTTAAAAGGGGTGAATGTGAGCGGGTGAATGGATTATTTTGTATTCTTTTATTTGTTGCGAATCTGGGAGTGCATGGTGGTCCAATGGGGAACGGCACGGAGTCCCCTTCCGTCCGAAGCGGTCAGTATAAATTGACCGCTCGGAGTGATTTTCTTCCTTTTTTTTGACCCGCGGCGAGATGTAGGTCGGGTCAGGTTTCTGCGTGGCGCACCGCACGCGTGGAGTGAGGTTGCTTGGGCAACTTGGCTGGGTGTTTTGTTTTATATGATTTGTTTTGTTTGGTGTAAAAAGTTTGTTGTGTACGTATTGTGTTCTACGTAATGTATTGTACGTAACGTATTGTACGTAGTGGTTTTACGTAGTGTTTTGTTTGGTGTGGACTTTTGGATGTCGAGAATGGATGAAGGGAGGTTTCTGTGTGTCAGGGCCTGGACCATCCTAGACATCATAAGTCGGTGCAACACCAGCAAATGGTCAAACGTAATGTTTAGTTTGATGTAAAAGTTTGTTTTGTTATATATGAATTGTTTTGTTTGATGTAAAAAGTTTGTTTCGTTTGGTTCTGTTTTGTGTCAGTTTTTATCTATTCCTTTTTTTATAACTTTTGGTTCCATGAAATAAATTGTATTAACTGTAAAAGGTTTTTGTTTTATTTTAGTAGCTTATTATTTAGACTAAGGTTAGGGTTTAACCACTGTGGGTTCTACCACGGTTGCACTGACCGGACAGATTAGTTAGTTAAGCCTAGGGAAGGGTAGAGTAGATTTTAAGGTATCCCCCCCTAGCAGGGCTTACACTAAAAAGCAAGATGATGATTTAATATCATATCGCAGTTCTACTATACCCGAACCCTTAATCACAATTTCTAACGAAAACGAATATATTCTTCATCATTTTTAAAAAAAATATTTTACACCGTCCCATATTTTGAGTCCAACATCATTTATGAGGGATATGGACGACCTAATAATTGACAAGTTGATCAGTACAAAAGGGTTTAATAAATGTTGGACCTCCCAAAATTTTTTGAGATCTTGGATGTACATACATACATAGCCTTTATTTCACTTGAAATTAAAGATAAGAAGACGGCCCTCTGTCTTACTTATATTAAACAAGACAGGTATGTATATAAATAACAAAGTCAACACAATATACATACGAATAGACATTTTTATCAAGAGAAACTACTCTAAATTTTATTTGGAAAGATGGCAGTTGTTTTTTTTCTACTAATATTTATCTCAAACACCTAGTTTAAATTAGTTTCATGTTATTTAAATTGTTTTGGTCACTGATTGTTATTTTAAATCAATTATCTGTGATATTTTGTAAAATTTGACTTAAATAAACTTATTTATTTAAACAAATATATTCATCAGTTACCTCACCCGCACATTACTACTACTGCAGCCGAATTGATTACGCTAAAACGATAGATTACCTTACCTTCGTACATCGTTGACCAAATTACTTGAAAATTGGACTTCCCTCACAAATAATAAATAAGTTGACTAAGTACTTACGTAAGTGCTAGATCTAGATCTCTAGATCTAGACTCTAGATTTTAAATGTCATCCGCAAAGTTAACCTTTAGTTAAAATAAAGCGGAAGTGATCTCCCCTAAACTTTCAGTAGAGTAGGGGATGTATATAATATATATTCATATTGTATAAGGATCTGCTCGGCCTTCATAGTCAAAAGAAATAATAAAAGTTAATTGGAATATTTATTTAATATTTAGATCTAGAATCTAGCTCTAATATACTCTAAATCTAATCATGTTGTAAACGAAATTAAATCTAGATTTAGACTCTAAATCTAGATTTAATCTCTAAATTTTAGAGTGACTAGCAGCAGCTACGTTAGCTGTTAGGTAAACATAGAATCTAGAATCTACTTATTTAATTTTAAAATTAATTAAATTTAATTACAAAATTTAGACCTATACTCGATTCATAATACACCTAATAAATAAAAACAAGTTAATAAAAAGTCTAGTGACAATTTAAGCGCAATTTCCTTATGTTATCTAAAAAATAGATAGTGATCACAAAGACGTATAATGTTGGGGTTCGTTCAAGCTAGGAGAACGATCGGTTTGCTGGTGTTTATGTAATTTTTAAAAAAAAATTGTGACCAAATAGGGTTGCCAGATACCTTTTCCGAAAATACTGGACACCTTTCCATCCTTCCCTTCTCGGGTATGCCGCAAAGCAGAAGAAGGGGGGTAACAGAGTTTTATTTCATATACTTGTCCAGTATTTATATTTATTTTATCCTGGACAGGCTGCTCAAATACTGGACTGTTCAGTTCAAAACTGGACACCTGGCAACCCTATGACCGAACGAAAGGATATTTTTCAAAACTTTATTCGGCAATATTGTTCTAAATTATGGCAGGAATCGATTAGTAAATGTTTCAAGTCGCTAAGTGGTCTGATTGCCGAGATATGGGCCAAAAACTGCATTTTTTTTTGAGGATTTTTGGCTTTTCCGGGAAATCCAGGAAGGAATTCCGGGAATTTTTTTGGCCCACAATCATCCTCGGAACTTGCTTAACATATTTGCTTTGGAACTAGTCCTCGATATTGCTTCGTTGAGGAGGAGATACGACTTAAAGCTGCGGTAAAGCTGCGGACACACATTCATTCATTCATCCATCCAGAAATGATCCGACGAGTTAATAATCGCAATTGTCCAGTATGGAAATTGCGCTAAAAATAGGCATAGGTCTAATTATTTTAAAAAATGTAATTTTCTCTTATCTAGAATCTACCTCCAGATTCTAATCATTTTATTTAGCAAACGAAATTATCTGAAATTAAAATAGATTGTATGACTAGACTTAGAATCTAGATCTAGAATCTTCTACTTAAGTTAAATTTTTAAAGTAGTTGATATTTTTGTTGTAGAAGGCTTTAATAAATTACTTAGGCTAATGATTAACGGAAAAAAGTCACAGGAAAAAAAAAACCACAGAAAAAAGTCAGTTTTTTTCTAGGAAAAAAAGTCACAGAAAAAAGTCACAAAGGAAAATTTTTATCGGAAAAAAGCCACAGAAAAAAGTCACAAAAATCTTATAAGAAATATTTTTATTTAATTGTTGAGAATTGTAAAAGTTTGGGTGTTTATAGATGCGGGTTGGGTTTTTTTTTGGTTGCCTATTTATAAACTTAAAAGCATTATGGTTTAAAACAGGGAACTACGGATGCGGCCCGCGAGGTCCTCTCATCCGGTCCACGGAGATCTTTTTGTCCACGGAAAAAAAAATGTTTGTTGGAGGTGGCTGTGCAACTTTGCCCAGAAAATTCAAAACAATTTGTGTTGCAGACATTGATGAAAACATCGTGACTCAAATAACGAAAAATGCAAGTAAGTTTCGCCATTTTTCAATTGCAATGGATGAGTTGCTGGACAGCTGCTCTACCTCTCAATTGTTTGTGTTCATTAGAGGTGTGGATAAAAACATGGACATAACACAAGTGCTGGCTTGCCTAAAATTAAATAGCATGTCTGGCTCCGTTACCGGGAGATGATATATTCAGTCAGTTAAAAGGGAATTGCTGATTATAACTTTGACTGGACTAACATGAGTGGCATAAAGAAAGGCTTGGTTGGACAAGCGAATGAGAAAAACATTCTAAAACCAATGTTCTTGCACTGTATTATTCACTTGCAAGCTTTGTGTGCTAAATAGTAGACATTAGCAGAGTACTGAATCATGTGGACCTCGAGTGTGTTTTCGACAGTGTTTCTTTCAGACTTTTTTCCCCGGGGAGGGATGGGAGGAACTTGAAATTTGAATATATTTCTATATAAATTATATTTCGTCGGGGTTGGGGGGGGGGGGGGGGGGGGGGCTTCGCCATCTCGAAGAGGTGCCTGGAAGAAACTCTGGCCCCCGAACTGATATTTTACTTACTATTGTTATAAAACAGGGGTCTCCAAACTTTTCAGCCCAAGGGCCGCATTAACTGATATTTGATAGTTAATGCGGCCCTCGGGCTGAAAAGTTTGGAGACCCCTTGAGGTACATTGAAACACTGACGACAGAAACCATGCTGTTTGTATATAGATCTTTAATCAGCCACCATCAGCTAACATGACGGAAACAGGAAGTCACAATACATAAAACAAGGGACATCACTCAAAACCACATTATAAATATAAGACTAATACAAGAAGAGTGAGTTCCCTTGACTTCACAATTCTAAATATATTACATCCCTTTACCCTTAGTAAACAACAACACAGCTCTCAACAGAACAAATTATTGTATCTTAAAATCACTAAATATATTGTAACATGAACATTACATGATTTGAATCATTTGGTAGATTACATCCTTACAAACAAATGCACAATATGCTACAACATAATTAAGATACAAAACAATGCTGTTAAAGTCCTTTTAACCTTTAACATCAAAGGTCTAACTTATTTGGGACTTTGATTGACCTGTTTGACCTTCTCAGTGGCTGTTAATTTGGTGACTCAAGATTCTGACCATCTGGACTCTCTAGCTCAGGAAGTCTAGGATCTAAATCATTAATTCCAGAATTTACATTTTCTGACTCTAGACTACTTGGTTCACTCATATCAACAGAACTTGGTTGTGGAACAAACTGAGTTGGTGTGAACTGGTCAGATTTGGTGGGATTGATAGATTCACACTTATTATCTGCACAAGTTATTTTTAACTGGTCTGCGTGTCTACGGACAATAAGTCCATCATTTGTTTTTACTTTATAAGACACAGGTCCTGTACATTGAACAATTTGACCTGGTATCCATTTTTCCCCTCTCCCATAATTTCTCAGATACACATTATCATTAACTCCAAATTCTCTTTCAATGTATGTTTTGTCATGATTTACTTTTTGTGTATGTTAATGTTGGGAAACAGACCTTTGAACAGTTGGATGTAGTAGGTCAAGGTGAGTTTTAATTTTCCTACCACATAACAATTCGCATGGTGCAACACCTGTTGTTATATGAGGAGTTGTGCGGTATATGGCTAAGAACCTGTTTACTCTTTCCCTGAGAGAAAATTTGTTACCGGTACTCATTTTTACCATAGCGGTTTTGAATATGCCTACCGCTCTTTCAGCCAAACCATTCCCAGCAGGATGATAGGGTGATGTGGTTATATGCTCAATACCATTTGCTACACAAAACAGTTTAAACTCATGAGCAGTGAAACCAGGCCCATTATCTGAAACAATTTGATCTGGTAATCCATGAGTTGAAAATATTTCCTTAAGTTCTATAATGGTATCATTTGCAGTGATTGTGTTCATGATTTTAACTTCTAACCACTTAGAATGTGAATCAATAACAATTAAGAACATTTTGTTCATGAAGGGTCCTGCGAAATCTATATGTATACGTTTCCATGGTTCGATTGGCCAGTCCCAGTTTTGCAAAGGTGCTGTAGCTGGTTGATTTGAATGTTGTGCACAGCTTGAACAAAGCTTTACATATTTTTCAATATCAGCATCCATATGTGGCCACCAGAGCCACGATCGTGCAAGACTTTTCATTTTGGAAGAACCAAGATGAGTATCATGTAAAGTTCTTAAAAATTCTTTTTGTAACATTTTGGGGATAATAACTCTTGACCCCCATAGTACACATCCATCTTCTAGACCTAACTCCATTTTTCTTATTTTATATGGCCTTAAGTCATCATTCACTGACTCTTCAGGCCAACCATTTTTACAGTACTCATATACTTTTATTAAGCACTCATCTTTTTGTGTTTCTCTTTTAACATCATTCACATTTATATTGGAGTTATCCATGATAGTGAAAAGAACAAATACATCTTCTGGTACATAACTAAGGCTTTGGTTTTTTAAAGGTAAACGACTAAGACTATCTGCACTATTCTCAGATCCAGGTTTGTATTTCAATTCATAATTGTATGCGGCTAGTGTGATAGCCCATCTTTGAATCCTTGGTGAGGCATGCTCAGGTAGGGGTTTGTTTTCCCCAAACAAACCTAGCAATGGTTTATGATCTGTAAAGATGGTGAACTCCCTACCAAACAGAAATTTCTTAACACCAAAAATGATGCCTAAGCCTTCCCTATCTAACTGAGAATAATTTTTTCTCAGCCTGGTTCAAAGATCTACTGGCAAAAGCAATGGGTCTGTCACCATTTTCATCTATGTGTGATAAAACTGCTCCTACACCATCTGGTGAAGCATCACATGTTAAGATAAGTCTTTTCCCTGAATCATAGTGAGTTAGTAAGGTGTCAGAAGACAAAGCTTCTTTTGCTGCATTGAAAGCAGCATCTTGTTGTTTACCCCAGTGCCAAGTTGCATATAGTTTACCAGACAGATTCCCTATGAACTTTGCATAGTAATTTATCAAGCCCAAAAAAGCTCTTAGCTGTTGGGTATTTTCAAAACCCACTGGCAGATAAATCTCGATCCCCTTCAACACAAATAATTAAGAACGAAGAAGAAGAAAGAAGAAGGGTATTTTCAGGTTTGGGTGCTTCTTTAATGGCTTTTGTTTTCTCAGGTTGAGGTCTGAGACCTTGCTTGCTTAAAATATAACCAAGAAAACTAATATCTGTCAGCATCAATTGACATTTATCTTTGTTTATCTTTAAACCTTTTTCACCAACTATTTTCAAAACTTTATCAAATGTTCTAAGATGTTCAGTGTCATTCTTACCAGTTATGTACAC